ACAATTACTTCGTATTGATTCAAAATCAATATTTTCACAACTATCAATTCGACAAAGTGAATTAATTAATTGTTTAACTAAAGTTTCTGCTGTTTATGGTTCATTACATGATAGTGATAAAATAAAAAAACATTGTTTAAAATTATTATCAGGTTAATTTTAATAAAAATTTAAAAAAGAATAATTGTTTTTTTTTTTTTTTTTTTGTAATATAGTTCTTCTTTTAACACGAACAAATATTCAAATACCATCATTAATTGATATTGATCTATTTCATCTTCTTGTTTCACTTTGTTTTACTTTACCAATATTATTTGCATCAAAACAAACATCACCATCATTAACAAATGTTCCAACAGGAAATCTTAATGATCTTTATCTTGTACGACTTATTCTTATGGCACATTGTATACAAATTCTTTCAAGTCAAGGATTTTTATATGAAATTAGTAAATTTTAATCAATGAACAAAAAAAAAAAATTGTTCTCCATTTTTTTTTTGCTTTATTTGTTATAGAAAATGATAATTCTCAACAATTTATAATAAGACATAAGAATGACGATGATGATGATGCAGAAAAAGAAACTATTCAAAAATTAATCGAGAAAATTATTAAAAATCAAACGTAAGTTTTTGATTTAAAAAACAAAAAAAATGAAAATTTATATATAAATTTTTCCTTTTTTAGACCTCCGTCTTCTTCAATTCAATTATTATCTCTTGATGAAATTCTAGATAAATTAAAACAATCTTTACTTCCATTACTTCGATGTACTGCTCTTTTCTATCATCATTTAACTGGAATATCATGGCCCGGAGAATCAGGTAAATAAAATATTTTTAAAAAAAAACATTTTTTTATTTTTTGAACAATTTTTCATCTAAGGACTTGATGAATATTCAATAATATGTCATTATCTTGGTTTACCAATATGTTTATCAAAATTATTTGATATAGAAAATGAACGTTTTTCAAATGATCTTATTAATAATTGGATATCGAATTTATCAACAAGTAAATCATTGATTAAATATCCAATATTAGTCAATGAATTACATCCATTACCTAAAGAATATATTGATCTTATGAATCAAGTATCTCAAGGGTAAATAATAAAAATTGAACTTTATTCATTTGATACATAATTTGAAGTCATTATTTTGTGACATGATGATCTAAGAATCTGAGAATCGTACGATTTTCGTTACAAAGTTTCTTTCATTCTGCATTTGCTCCGCGAAATGACGATTTTGAAGTGAAAACTCCGTTATCTGTTTTTTTCGAGATAATGAAAACGGATTTTAGTAGTAACAGTGATTAGATGGAATATATTGCTGTTATATTTCGAAATTTTCGTCATATCAGAGATCAACAATTGAAATTTAAAATGTATTCATCAACTTTGTATTTTAAACGAAACTTAAGGCTCTCCTTTTCATCCTCAAAAATCGATCTCAGACCAGGAGGGTGACGTACTTTTCGTCTCAAATTATTCCGAACTCTGGACATGTGTTCGGATGTTTGGAAATGAATTTTTGTCCTTAAAGATTTATGACCGGAGTTCGTAAACATTTTTGCAAGGGAGATCGTAATAGAAAAGCAGAAAAATCGGAATGGTGTGACAGAGTGTTCGGAAGTTTTCATTATGACTACTTTGTCTTTATCATTACGAATTTCCGAACTTTCTCAGTCCGATCTCTTGTCAAAATTTCGCTGTTCAACCACTAACAATGGGTTGTCAGAGTTTGTCACGAACTCCTGGGCAAATTTCACTCTGAATATCCTGTTTTTTGTCACATTTCATTGACTTTTATTATTGAGAACTCCATTCCGAACACCCGATCTTTTTTCTTACGTCCAGAGATCGTAACGAACTACTTCAACCGGAGTTCGTAATGGAAGAATGAGATGAAAAGTCACTTTTCCTCAAAAATCGCTCGATCGTATCTCCAAGAATTCTCTGTCAACCTTCATTCTAAACATTTAAATTTTTTTTTTGTTTGAAAGCTTGTATTTAGACCTAGCTTCGTCCTTTTCTTTTTAAACGAAGAAAATGGATGACAAATTCAATGATTCAAAAAACTTCTAAAAAATGACGCTATTTTTATAGAGGTCTTTTCTTATATGATAATAAAAAAGAAATCATGAAAGGAACTAGGCCTAAACACGAGAAAAAAGAAGTTATTGGCTAAAATGAATCTTCTTCGAGAATTCTTGGAGAGATACGATTGAAAACCTATCAAAACGACAAAGGTTTTTGGTTTTTTTCGAAAAGAGGATAATAGAAATCTTCAAAAATTTTTGTCATTTATGAGAGATCAGATCACGGACTATCTTTTCCTGAATTTATCTTAATTTCAATCATTCTGACAAAAGGTAACTCTTTTTGACGGGACCTCAAATCGTTATAACAACATATGAATGTAATTGATCCTTTTTTTTTAACTTGTTTTATAATCTCATAAACAATAAGTTCAGTTTAAAGAGTATACTCTTCGTATCATAAGCTTAGTCTGTGTATCAGTGGCGTACGCAGGGGGAGGGGATCCAAGCCTCTCCTCGAAGAAAAGTTCCCTGTGGGGGGAGTATGGTACAAACTTTTGAAAAACTCCATTACGGCCCCCCCCCCCCTTCTTGAGAACTTGGGTCCCTCCCTTGGAAAATTTCTGTGTACGCCACTGCTGTGTATCATCTAGTTTAATTTTATATTGATTTTTCTTTTTTTATTTCTACAGTGTTGCACCATATAAATATGCACGTGATGAAGCTCGATCGCCATGTATATGTTTAACTTGTGGTGATGTTGTTGTTCGTTCATCATCATCATCAATAACAACACCAAATTTATTAACAACAAATAGTTTAATATCAACATTACTTAATATTGATCAAACTGTTGGTCCATGTAATCTTCATACACAACAATGTTGTGGTCCAGTAGGACTTTATTTACGTGTAAAAGAATGTTCATTACTTTTACTTAATATAATTAATGATGGACGTATTAATAAAACACGTGGTACATTTATACCTGCACCTTATTTAGATGATTATGGTGAAACAGATCAGAATTTACGGTAATTATAAAATTAATTCAAATAAAAATTTTTCATATTTTAAAATTTTGTTTTTCTTTAGACGTGGAAATCCATTACATTTATGTGATGAACGATATCATGCATTATATCGACGATGGTTATCACATGCTATACCAGAAGATATTTCACGAAATATGGAATTTAATAATACATCGATTTATGCACATAATTGGAGTCAGTTTTAAACAAACAAAAAAACAATCCCTTCGCCTTTTTCTTTTTTTTTTTGTTCTATCTTATTATAGAAGAATACCGATTTAATGTACCAAAAAAACAAAAAAAGAAGACTTTCCTTTTTTTGATTTTTTCTTATTTTCTATTTATCTAATCAAGATCAATTGGGATAAACCTTCAATAGAAAGAATTTCTCATATGTAATTAAACATCTTCTTTGTTTTTTTTTAAATTAAAAGACAAATATGACATATATATATATACTAAAAGAATAATCATGCGGAATACTATTTAGTCAATTATTGATAATAATGAAAACATTTATTTGAATGATGTATGAATGTATATTGATCCTAATCATTGGTTTATTAGGAATATAATGTTAATTCATATAAAAATAATATGACATAAGTTTAAATATTTGTAATAATTATGCTTTATGTACAGAGTTTTCTAACTTTTCTGTAATGTTTTCAAATTTTTGCAATCTCCGTTTAAGAGATTGAAAAATGGATGAATATTTTGTGAAATTACTTTTGGATAACTCATTTAAGACATGATCGCGACCATTTGTATAAAAATGAAATGTGCGAAACAAATTTTTATCATCAAAGTCGACATCATCATCGAAAATATATCTCACGGAAACTACAAATAAAAACTCTGAAGAAAAGTACTGAAGACCTTTTCACTAAAGTGTATATCATTCGATGTCAAAACGTGCCTGAAACTAACCGAAAATAGGATGTGGTTGTGAAAAATCCCATGTTCAAACGATCTTCAAAAGTTTTCGAATCAGTACGTTTTGTACAGGGAATCATGATGTGGTTTTTCAGAAAATTTCACGCATGGGTTAGTCTTTATTTCTGAGAAAAGTCGACCAAATTTTTTAAAACTATTTGTAGGTATGTCGCTGTTAACTCATTCTAACCGAATGCTAATCTTTAACTATGAGTGTATCTCCGATACACATGCAAGTGAATCATATCGGCTTTTAGTCAAATAATAACATGCACTTTCGTGCAGTATATATATTAATGTACTTTATCAGGGTGACACATTTGTACTCTTATTATTCACAAGATAGATTTGCTGATGAAATATTTTTCTAGAGAATTTTTCATTTTTTATTTAAATTTAAATGGCCAATGCGCGAACGCAAATGACCGCGGAACAAATTATCCACTCGAGAAAGCCCGATGTGGACTTTTCGCAGGCGTCAACGGGGGCGGTGTGCAATGCCCGCGCCTCGACCTGGAGCATTCACGTTCATGATCGTGAATGCATCCGTGGCAGGTAAGTATGCTTGTTGTATCGTCTCCATCATCCTTATATATTCGTACACCAAGCAAAAATTGCATAGTAGACGAACGAAATAATAGGAAAGAAAAAGAAAAATGATGAGTCATCATCATCATGATTGTTATTTTTCTTTCATTGTCAAACTCATTTGAAACTGTACTTCGATACTTGTAGCACATGAAACTCATTTTAGACAAAAATAAAATATTTAGTTTTGCAGAACATCTGATTTACACTATATTTCTATTCTAATTTTTTTTTTCTGATGTGACCATGTAAATTAGATGCCGCTACTGGTAATATCTATCATGTAGTCGATTAGTGCTTCTTGCGCTATACTCTTTTTCATCAGATTATACACTATTTTATTTTTATCAAAATCAAATCACAGTATAAAGAAACAAAAAAAAATAAGAAATCTATTTTATAAATTTATTCGTTCACCTTGAACAAGTCGACTTTTAATTCTCCAAATATCCTAAATATAAAAAATAAAAAATAAACGCAATCAAAAAAAACGAAATAACAATTTTACCTCAAAACGTGCATCTTCAACACCTGTTCGTTTTTTAAAAACTGCTGTAACTTCTTTTGAAATTAATTCTTGTCGACCATCACATTCAACATATTCACCTGCAGAATCTGCATAATGGCAAGATATTGACTTACGAAAAAAAACAAAAACAATCAAATAATACCAAAATTAAGAAAAAAGAAAGGCTTTTACTTTTCGAAACCCTTCGGTTCTATTCGTTCCACTACCATGAATAAGTAATGGATGAAAAAATACAGTATCACCTGTCCACATTTCTAAATGTATTCGTTCTGCATTTGGATCAAATTTTTGTATTCCATGATACATTTTATTGACACCACCCTAAACAAGAAAAAAACATTATAATTCTTTTGTTTTTTGTTTTTCTTAACCTCCCATTTTGGATATCCATGTTCTAGAAGTTCACCTTTATGTGTTCCAGGTAAAACTACAAGACATCCATTGTCACGATGTATATGTTGCATGGCTGTCCATGCACAAACAATTCGATCAGCTGGTCGAAATGGAAAATAATATAAATCTTGATGAAGTGGATGTCGTGATGTTTGAGTACCCGGATCAGGTGGTTTATTAATTAACTAAATAAATAATTTGTTTTTTGTAAATAAAGAATACACAAAAAAAAAACAATAAAACTTGTTTGTTTTTTTTTTACGTCTCTTACCATAGTATGCATAGCCATTATATTTGGACCAGTAAAATTTTCAATATATTTAATAATTTCAGGTAAACAACAATATTGAAATAATTCATCATCTAATGTAAAATCTTGAATTTTTGTTATAGCTTTTTCACCATCAACAAATTCCGATTTTGCAATAGCTATATCTTTCATTATTGTCATACCAAATGTTGGAACTTTACCTGTACATATATCTTGAAAACGTTTACTAAGAGAAAAATCAAAAATAATTAAATATAAATTTTAATCAATTTTGTTTTTTTTTAATGATATATGTACTTAAATTGTTCAAGTGTTTCAGGTGAAATTAAATTTCGTATAACAATAAAACCATTTTTTTCATAAAATTCACGTTGCTCGTTGGTTAAATTTCCATTTGGTAATGTATAACGATATTGTGGTTGTTGTTGTTCATTTTTCTAAAAACATAAGATTTATAATAAAAATAAAATGAAAATATTTCACATATACATATTGTGTACTTAAGCGAATATGACGACCAATTGTTTCTAATCTTTGTGCAGACATCTGAATATTCGAAAAGAAAGTCTATGTCGAATAAATTAGTTCGAAAATAAACTGACCGTTATGATAATAAACTCAAACTTTTATATATCTTTTATTATCAAGTTCGAAATGTAGGTCAACAAAAAAAACTAATATCATGATTTAACTTATGATTAGATAACTACCAATTATAATAAAACCATTTTGTTCAGTTTAATAAATATATAGAATTAAGTTATTATGGATAAAAATGCTAATGCATAGATTAAGATATATGACTAGATTATTTATTGTATTTATCAATTGGCGACCTCTATTTAACTTTTAGATAGAACTATTTGTGAAACTTACAAAAGCAATACCTTCTATCTGGGGCGAAATAATGCATTTAAATATTAAATATTTATTTATGATGCTAAAAAAAAATGATTTTGTAAAAAACAAAAAAATTTGCATAATAGATGCGTAGTTTTTTACTTCTTGTTAAGTAAGAATATGTGAATTTATAGAAAACAGTTCTTTGAATCTGTTCTCATTATCACTAGATTATCTTTATAATAAATTAAAATCTTCATTCATCATTCTTACAAAGTTCAAAATTTCGTTGTACATTTTTGTCGTTGGATAGAATATTTTTTTCTAAACATACGTTTCAACAATTTTTTAAAAATTTGTCGAAAAAGTGTTCCACCAATGCTTGCATAAATATAAAACGATAATGAACTTTGAAATGTTGTCATTATAAATGTTATTTCACCAGAAAGTATTTCTACTCTTAAATGTAATGGACTTATTTTTTTAATGTTATAAGTAAGAACTAAATAAATACGTTGAATTGTATTTGAAATATATGATATCAAAATTAAAATTATTTGTCCGATTACCATCTATAAAATAATATATATGATAAGAATTTATTTATTTTTTAGCAAGTTAATATATGATTTCTCTTACATGAGTAAGATGTCGATCAGTTCGATGAATAGTATTTCCTGGTGGTTCACTCATTTGTCGACTTTTCTTTATATGTTGTATTGTTCCATAACCAAATATTAGAATAAGCATACTTGGAATAAATACAAGTACTATTAAACGAGCTATTTCGTTATAAAGACCATATATACGTGTTGTATTTATTGTACATGTTATTGATGGAGATTTATCAACTATATCAAGACAATAAAACATATCAACAAATACAAGAAAATAAATAAAAAGTAGTAATTATTATTAAACAATGAGCATTATGTAATGAACTTAATTGACGATATTCTACTTGTGAACTACTAATAAGAAATCTATCAACTGAAGCAAAAGCAATAGAAATCATTGATAAACTTGAAAATGTATGAGAAAGAGATTGACGTATTTTACAAAGAATATTAATATTCTCTGATAAATCAAGTTGAAATGTAGCAAGCATTCGTGATAATGGACTTGTCATAATCCAAACAATATTAACATAAGTAGCTATAATTAAATAAAATGAACATGGATTTGAATGAAGTTTAGGTTGATGAAAAACAAGTATATTGAAGAAGTTTCCAATAAGACCAAGAATAATCATAATCAAAAGAACATAACGCATAATAAATAGACCTATATTGGATAAATAAATGATGAGTGTATCATCGTCTATTGTTGCATTCATTGTTCTGTTGGAAATATCTTGAACAAAGCGTTAAATTCAATAGAACAAAAGAAGTTAGTTATTTATTTTTGAAAAACTACAATAATCAGATCGATTTTCTGATGAATTGTAAAATTTTCGTCTGTTTTTTTCACTTCTATTGATAAAAAAGATTTTAACTAACACCTTGGATTCAAAAATCTTTAATCATATTTCTACTTATTGTCTATCTTATACTTATGAAAAGATGAAAATTCCTTCGCGGAGAGTGACATTTTCTAGACCAAAAAAAAAGAATGATTTGCATGATGTAGTCAGGATCCGCGAAAGTGGGAGAGTGTAGGGGATGTACACTCTCCTCCCCCTCCCCGTCCAATAATTGAAAATTATTTATTATTAGTCACCAAAAAGGATAATATTTTTTTGAATCTATAAAATATCACTGTGAGACATTTTCACAAATATCTTTCAGAGGTTACTTTCTGAACAATTTCATTTGCAAACAGTCGTCGCTATCGTGACTGCCTTTGGCGATGAAATTCCTAAGGGGTTTTGCAACACTTTTTGCTTTCGAGAACAATAGGGAAAAGAAGAGTTTTTCATGAGTCTGGGAAAAGTTTTCGCTTCGCAAAAAATCACAGTCGCATAACTGTAGTTAACTTAGAAAAATTTCTAACTTTAGTCAGTTTTTCCATTTAAACAGCCTAATCGAGAATAATCATCGCCAGCGTGGCCGTCTTCGGCTTTAGAAGTATTGAGGAATTTCCTTACATTAGACGCTGGTTGTCTTGAAAACTTGCCAGAAAAAGTCGAATTTTTTAAGAAGATTGGAAAAGTTTTCGCTCCGCGAAAAATTGTTACATTTCGAGTTGAAAAAGAAAGATTAATATTAAATTTGATGCGAAAAAAATTTTGCTTTCCCCAATCTTGACTATCTAAGGAACCTCACTTCCCTCCCTCCCTAATCCTGGGACCTTCGCGCGGGGCCTGGATGTAGTACACATGTTATTAGTGTCTTCGTAAAAAAAACACGACTACCATATTCATTGAGGATAGTCATACCAAAAGTAAAGTATTAAGTGAAAAAATATCAAAAGTACAAACAAAGTTCATTAAGATTTAGCTCTCAAAATCGAATCTTCAACCGAGTCTATACGAATGACCTAAAATTTTGTAGATATATAAGGAATACTTAACGATATATAAAAAGGTCGATCAGAACTATAACTCATACTCATTTTGAGATTGTCGACATCTCCAATTCCATCCAACTGAATCGACTTTTTTTCTATTTGAAAGAAAGAATATTTTTTTGCATAGAGTTTCGTGATTTTTACTTTAATGCACAGAGCTAAACAAAGTGCTTGTACTCGAAATCCTAGATAAATATACATTATATCAAAATAATGCTTGATAAAATTGTACTTTATATTTTTCAAGAATGAAATGAACAGCTGATTTGTTCCATACATATATGGATTTAGATAAGTAGACACACACCACATCTTAGTATAACAAAAGGCATATTCGTTTTTGTTATTCTCTTTCACTAGTAATATAGTATGTAATTGGTAATTGATTCATGTGTCTGTATATTATATAGTTTTCTTCTTTCATCTCGTATATACATAACTCATTCTTACTGAATAAAATAAGTTCATTATTGTAATATGACGGTTATACCCTTGTTTTGATAACATACTAAAAATTTTAATAGACCTTGATGCTTTTCAATCGCAAAAAAGGAATGAAAGTAATTTACTTTTCTTCAAGAAAATTCTTTATCCTTCTTTATATGACCTTGATCTGAAATACTTGTCAGTACCGGTTACATCAGCTCCTATTGAAAGAATATTTTCTCAAAACGGCTTTGTAATGCGTCCATATTCCGCATCATTAATCTCAAAAACTGTATGCTTACTTACTTTTTTTAAATGCAGTACGGTTTTGGTATTGTTTGATTGTTTTAAACTTGATAATTAAAAAAATAACTAATAATAACAACATTTTGATTCATGACTTTTACATTGTCTCGATCTAATTAAATTTCCTCTAGTGATGTCTTAGGAAATTCACTCTTATGTACTTGTGCTCGAGAAAATCCGCACTTGCCCAGCTCTAGTAATATACGTCTCAAACAATTAACAAAGAACAATATCAAAAATGATGCTCTAGAAATCTTAGCTCAAGTGTCTTGTTT